TGCAGTTTACCCAAACTCATGTCCATTGAGTCAATGATGCCATCCAACCATCTCATTCCCTGTCGTCCCCTTCTCCTCCTGCCTTCAATCTTTCCCAGGATCAGGATCTTTTCCATTGAGTCAGCTTTTTGCATCAGGTGGCCAAAGTACTGGAGTTTCAGCTTCAACATCAGTCCTTCCAATGAACACTCAGGACTGATCTCCTTTAGGATGGACTGGTTGGATCTCCTTGCAGTCCAAGGAACTCTCAAGAGTCTTCTCCAACACCACAGTTCAAAAGCATCAGTTCTTCAGCTCTCAGCTTTCTTTATAGTCCAACTCTCACATCCATACATGACTACTGGAAAAACCATAGCCTTGACTAGACAGACCTTTGTTGGCAAAGTAATGTCTCAGTCTAATCACGTGGACCACAGCCTTGTCTAACTCAATGAAACTGAGCCATGCTATGTAGAGCCACCAAAGATGGATGGGTCATGGTGGAGGAAAGTTCTGACAAAATGTGGTCCACTGGAGAAGGGGATGGCAAACCACTTCAGTATTCTTGCCTTGAGAACCCCATGAACAGTATGAGAAGGCCATGAAAGTATCCACTGAATGTTGAGAACAATGAATAAATGCAAACTCATATTTGATACATTATTTAATAATGAACAGTTTCAGACAGGAAAGGACTCAGAAAAACTGTCTCCTGAATTCTCAAGGTTAGGAGGTTACTTGAGCAAAAAGAAGGAATGATACAGAAAGAATGACTTGCCGTCCTATGTAGAAAACACTGGCTATAGCCCACAAAGTAATGAAAGAATTACTTAGCCTTAGCCTGACAATTGTGCAGAAAACTTGGAGAGAAATTTGTCAAAATTTGGAGTCAAAAGGAGAGGCTTATGGAGGGAGGTTTTAGACAGAGTAGATTCCAAAGATATGATACCATCTTAGATGCTGCAAAATTTTTGGAGGCAGTAGATAATTGAAGGAAAAAAGACAATAGAACTTCCAAGATAAACAAAAATAAGATGAAATATCCTTATGGTTGTACAATTAATAATGTTTACACTGTCACAACGATTTAAAAACTTTGATTTTGAATTTTATATTCAACTTATAAAAAGTTTATAAACAACATAAAAGCAGAAGGTAATGTCATCCATTTTGGCAAGAGAAATGCAAAATACAAAGAATTCTGTTTGGGTAGTGAAAGATGGGAGGAGAGCTAAAGTGTGAAATCAAAGGATATTATCTGAAGTGCTTGTATCAAGAAATATATGTGAAAATTTATTATTTGGAATTTAAAAGGCAATGTAGAAACTAAAATGGGGAAAGGTATGGGAAGTGGTATAGGTAACCCATGTCTGCATTTCCCGTGATAGACATATAAACATATTGTTTAACAGTATGGTGGTAATCATCAGAAAAAGAACAACCGGTAACAGTTTAAAACATTTAAAGAGACTCTTGATGGGGGACTATAATGGAAGTAGAGTAAGTTAGGGCAGGAGACTGGTGGCTTTTCATTTCAAGTCATTCTGTACTGTTTTTTAGAACCAGGTATATGCTTTACTTTGATTAAAAATTTGAAGTATTATGGGATTTCCCTGGCAGTCTAGTGATTAAGAATCAGCATTTTCACTGCCTAGGGCTGGAGTTCAAAACCTGGTCAGGGAACAAAGATTCTGCAGGTTGCATGGTGAGGCAGGAAAAAAAAGAAAAAAAGATACAGACCCAGCTTACCTGCCTCCACAGTCCATGTTACTCTTCCTGCCAATCTATCTACTTACCTACCTACCTATTTACCATAAGTGTCATCCTTGGACTCTTGGAAGCAAGTATCTGCTATTTTTGAGTGTTTATGTAGTTTTCATGTTTGTATATTTCTTTCAACAAGGTATTGTCTAATTGCTAAGAGCTCTGTCTCTAGAATTTAAGTGCCTCTATTTTGAATCTCAGCTCCAACATAGACCAATCATCTGTATCATATGATGCTGAGAAGTAAGTTAGCCTCTACAGGCTTCAATTTCCTCACCTGTAAAATGGTCATAATAGTCCATGTCTCAGAGGGTTTTCCCAGGAGATTGAGATAATCCACACAAGCGCCAAGAACAATGCTAGACACTATCACTTTCTGATCTTCCCAGGGAAGTTTAGATTTTACTTACCCCATTTCCATCAGTAGGAAAACTTAGAAAGAATTTTATAATGAACTGCTTAACAAGTTTATTTTAGATTTATGATATGTATTTAGTATTTTATTGTGTTCATTTTGTATTTTTCATTTGAGAGCACTTACAATAAAGGACCCATAATAGGAACCACTAAAAAGCTGCCACTTCTATGGTTCCAAGTAGTCAAATAGACATTAGGTAGCTTGGCCTGCACATTTATTCCTTAAAATTTTGCTAATTTCACTTATTCTCTGAGTCATGTGCCAGGTATGGTGATGGGAATAAGGTGAAGACATACCAGCGTTCTACCTCTGTCAACAAAAAGGCAGGCAAAACATGGTGCCCAAATCAGTATTTGATCTTCTGTCTTGTGTGAATCTGGCAGTGGTAGGATTTAAGATAATGGTGACTGGAATTCTGACTGTGTCTCTGTTAAGTCACTTGTAATCTGTTAACATTTAACAATTAAATGGTTGTGAACTAATGTAGCAGAATGGTGCCAAAAATCCTGTCAATGAATGCAAGAGGATCTTAAGCAGCTTACTGAAATTTTAAAAAAAAAAAAGGAGGGGGGTAAAGTTTCAAAAATGGTATTCAGCCTTTATTCTGTGATGAGGACAAAAATGCCAGTGCTTTAACTGCAAACATGATTTCCTGAAGCATTCCAAGTTTTCCTCGGAGACTTTCATGGCCAGAGATTGACTATTTCTGTGCCTGCTTGGAAAGAAAAGAGCTTGATAAAAGTGCTATGTCTGCTGGCACAGTTATAACCCAACCCCATTCAGAATACGGAGCACCTGCGCTTGATCTGTCTATGGCTGTGCAGTCACTGGTATTTCCAAAGGAAGTCTTGTAATGGTCGGCATAGAAATTAATTTTGTAGACTTGGGTTCAAATTAAAAAACAAACAAACAGAAACTCGGTGTAATTTGCTGCTGATGAGTCCTGAAAATACTGCTCAGATTAAATAAGCTCATGTCAGCCTGGAAGAATGGGCCCAAGTGTGGACTGGGTGTTGGGAATAGAGGAGAGATGGGGGAAGCGGGGGAAGAGAAAAGAGAAAAGATTGTTGATGGAGAAAAAGACAACTAAGAACTTTCTAGAGACTGTAGTTTCTGTGTAGTTTGTGATTCTCATAATTGCTGTAATAAACTAGCTGTCTTCCAAAGATTGCTGTAAAGTTATCAAAGGTATTAATTCACTAACTTCAATAGCTGGAGGAAAGATTTAAGCTCTTTTTAGGGGCATACAAGTCTCAGAGATAACACCATTCCCAAGACGGTTTCCACAATGAGATGGAGTGCTATTTTAGAAGTTCACATAACATTTGGTGCTCTTCAATGACTATAAAAAGCAACACTTTCATACATGCAAAGGAATGCAAATGCAATGACGGTGGTGGCTGTGTTTTTGCTTATGAATGCTTCCAGGGTAGATGAGTTATTCTTTACGTTTTACAATCATGAATCTCTTTGGGAATTTAGTGGAAGATATGGCCTCATTTACAGAAGAGTAGATATATGCATGTGTGTGCACGCTCAGTTGTGTCCAACTCTTTGCGACCCCAGGGACTGTAGCCCACCAGGCTCCTCTGTCCATAGAATATTTCAAGCAAGAATACTGGAGTGGGTTGCCATTTCCTACTCCAGGGGATCTTCCCAACCCAGGGTCAAACCCGTGTCTCCTACATTGCAGGTGGATTCTTTACCACTGTGCCACCTGGGAAGCAGATATATTGATAAATATATAAAATTCTTTATGATCCTTCCTGTACATTCATGGTCCCTCAGACCGTTAAGGGTAATGGATCATGTTAGAAAGTTGTCTTAGACTGTTAAAACAGAATATTGCATAGAGTAGACAGTTTAAATATAGGCTATTTGTGTAAAATAGGAAAATATTTATTTTATATTAATATTTTGCTATTATGTAACCACAAGTTACATTTAAGTAAAATATTTTGTAAATTCTACAATGTTTGAATTGTAGATTATTTAGTTTGATCTCCAAAATTAACAAGACCAAGACCCCAGTAAGGATGAAAGACTTGAGTTCATCCAGCTAATTTACAGCACAGAAAATTTTATATTTTATGCATATGTGTGTGTGTGTACTGAGCTTTCAGACTGCTTTATGAAAAGAGTAGATTTAAAGGACAAATTTAACTTTTGAAAGGGCACCATTCCTTGTCAATAATATCTATTCTGATTTCTACCCCAACATATTAGGGCATTATGTAGCAAAATGAGGGAATAAATTAATAAATGCTTGTAACTCTATTTGTCAGATCAGAAAACCTCATTAGCATAAATATTCCTAATATTTATACATTTTTAAATGTCATCAATTTCTAATTCAATAGTGTAAAAATAGAGTATATTTATTTTTTCAAGGAATTTTCAAAGTATTTTTCACAAAGCTTTAACTTCAAGAAACAATTTCGACATCACTTTCCAGGAAAGATTATTTGAAAACAGAAATAATTTTTGAATTATTAAATTGATCAATTTGCTAAAAATCAAATGGTTTCCAGTCCATGAATCAGACACCAACAAGCAGAACAAATAGGAAATAAATTAGGTGCTATTAGGAAGGATTTCAGTGCTGCAACATTTTCGTAGCTGTGTGTGAGAACCTTCTGTGCCGAGTCGCCTGTAGGTGGAGGGGGCCATGGTCTCTGCTCTGGGTGTTGGTCTGGGGCTCACGCTCTGAGAAACCCGGACGAAGATTCTCAGCTTGTCCCGCGGGGGCAGCGCTGCCTCCTCTACAATTGCTATTGTTTTGGAAAACAGGGGCACTTCTGAGACAAGAATCGTCCCCAACTTCATTCATGGTCTATCCTCAGCGGTTGGGAAGAGGCGATGTTGTTTGGACCTGAAGTTTCTTCCAGAAGACTGGGTTCGGGAGGGTGTTACTGCGAGGTGATTCATTCCCACTCTGGAGGCCTGCAGAAAGCTGGGGTCCACTTGTACGTGCAGGGACCACCCCCTGGGCGCCCCCAGCCCCAAGCCCCCCGCCACTCTGGGTCCAGAGCTCTCCGCCCTCCACGCCCTTGCTAGGGCTCTCAGGGTTGGGGCTCCAGGCGTTTGGCTTTGAGTACAACTCGCCGCGGAGAACTCGGGCCCGTGTGACCAACGGGATCAAAGACTCCGGACCATCGCCCGCAGGAAGCGCGGGGACCGGCCCTCCACTTCCTGGAAGTTTGGACAGCTTCGCGTCGCTCCCTGTCCAGAGCCGCTCTCCAAAGCTCTCTAGGGAGAGCCGGGGAGGGTCAAGTTGCCTTTCCGATCGCAGGGCTGGGAGGGCCCGACCCGGTGCCTGGGGAAGAGGCGCGGGCGCCAGGCACGCCCGCCCTCGGCCCCGAGTCCGGGCCTCCAACCACGCGCCCCGACCCGGTGGGACCCGGGGAAGGGGGGGACGGCGTTCTTGCTTCCGCTAGAGGACATTGCTTTGCAGTCTATCTCTTGTTTTGATTTACTTTTTTTTTTTTTTTAATTTCTACTTTCCCCGTTCCGTTTGAAAGCATGTACCTGGTTTTCTTTCCCCAACACATCCTCTCCGCCCTTCCTCTGCACCCCTGACGCCCAAGGTGGACGCGTGTGTCAGCAGTTAGCTCGATTTGCCTCGAGCGACCAGAGCCCACCCCCTCGATCGGCCAGCCCTCGAACCCCAGGAGCCTCGGGTTCTACAACTCGATTCCAGGAGTGGGGTCCTCCCGCTCTGGGCATGACTTTTGAGGGATTTTTTTCGCCCACCACGGATTCAAAGTCAGAGAGCAACCACCATGAAGGGCGCTACCACAGCGAGGAGCCCCAGGAAAGGCTGGGCCAAGCACCCCACAAACCCTCTCGTTTGGTCTCAGAAAGACTTTTTCGGAACCTTAGTCCCTTCCGTCCATCAGAGCCTTACACTTCGCCTCTGTTACGAATTTCCTAAAGGAAGGCAGGAGATGGGGGAGGGACCATGGAGAAAAAAAAGAGCGAACAGGTGACATTGAGATTATATATTTCATATAAAGAAATGATACATATGTAATTTTAGATTTTCTTCCGAATTAGAGTGCTGAGGCTATAGAAAACCTATTTTTAACACCCCCTTCTCATAACGGCCTTGATTGCCTAAATTGCTTCTAATCGGGTGGCACACGTTAGTGGAGACGAAGGACGCATGACAAGCAGCCCTCATTCTTTCGCAGATTTAGATAATGTCTCTGGATGAGTATCTTTTCCGATCAGCGATCAGCGTAAAAGTGGGAACTCAAACACAGTTTTCTTAAGGGATTTGTGCAATAGGGGAGAAACGGCCTGACCATTTCATGATCATGCAAATAGACGGCATCTTACAGAATACACAGCATAAGAAGCCAGTGCCAATGTTTCCCTCCGGGCTTGGCGTGGCACAGAGTAAACATACTTAAGAAAAAACAAAAAACAGCAACTCACGTAGCCTTCTCCTCTTATTTAGCATTTGTAAAAGTTTTCAGTACACCTCTTTAAAACATGTAGACCTGAGTTTCTCCCTCTCTCCTCCTTCCCATTGCCCAAAGCTTGGGCGGCCCTGAGCGCCCCTGGCGCTTCGTGCCAGCCCCGACAGCCGCGAGCAAAGGTCATTACCTCGCGGGCGGGCGCGTTCCAGCTTCTCGGGAGAGCCAGCGACTGGGAGATACTTGGGGAGTTCTTGGACCACGCAGACGTGTATCCCCAACTTGAGTCTACTGTAGGGCCTGGGTCCCAGGCGAAGGCTGGTTTGTCTAAGGTGCTCTCTGGCCATTCTGGTGGGTAGGGCGCCTCAAAGGAGAACAGACATCTGAAGGTGGTGAAGTTGAAATATGGTCCACTGGGCAAATCTGACATGGAGACATACATCTAGTTTCACTTTTTGCCATTACTCCCCAAACAAACAAAACACATTAAGTCATTTGAGGCCAGAGGAAACGTGCCTAGAGGAAGTGTCCCTTTCCGTGTCAACTTGAAAGGCACCCGATTTTCCTCGCAATTCTTTGCTTGGACGGAAAGGAAACTAGAGTGGTGCAGGGAAGCCTCCTTAGGGAACCTTAAATTGCGTCACACAGCAGGCTTCTGGGTGAAGCCAGAAGACTCTAGAGTGAGGTTGCTTGTGGGTGGTTCAAAGGCAAGCCTACCCTGGAAGGTGGAACCTTCCTGGAACCCCGCCTGGAAGGTGGGCGTGAGCAGAGTCCCTGCCCCAGGAGGTCGCCTCCTCCCTTCCCGCTGAGCTCGTGCACAACTTTTCTTTTCCCTTTATGCATCAAAATGGGAACCCTTCCATTCTGGATTAATCTAAGGTGCATGTTTTAAAGGCCCACTGCTATGCAACTTTACATTTTACATTGGCCTTCAGAGTGAGTTTATTAGTCCTGCGAGCAAAGATTAGGGCGCTAAGACGTTCTCAACGGTGGCATTCCGATTTGGTTCCTGCAATAGGCGTGTGCCTAAACCCTGGCCTTGGTTGGGTCACCAAATACTGTCCAAACTCCCTGACTGTCTTTAGAAGGTTCTCGGTTATGCAAGTTGCCCCTCAACTAACTAGTTCCTGGATGGGTTGGAGATACAGTGTAGAGAAAACATCCCGGATTGGAGGCACTGGCACTCCTAAAGGGTCAGGAAAATCCCTCCTGTTTAGGAGATGGCTTTTGGAGGCAGTTTAAAACCTGAAAGACAATATGAAAGTTTCTCCTTTAGGAAAAAAGGTAGCTCTGGTGGTTCAAACTCGGTCTTTTGGCAGGCAAAGGAGCAATTTCCTGGAAACGAAATTGGCATTCAAAGAGGGTCAGGTAAAGCCCAGCACCCCTGGCTGCATTTTGGACCCCAGAAGGGCACTTCTTGCCTCCAGCCTATTTAGAAAAAGAAAGGAAAAGGAACGGATAGAGGGAGGAAAAGGGGAGAGAGAGAGCACAAGAGAGAAAGAAAGGGAGAAGAGGGGGGTATTTAGCAAGTTAAGAGGTTAAATATTTGAACAGATTTGTAAATATATAGACAGCCCTTGTTATTTGGAATGTGTAATAATGCCTTTTGTGGTGCTGTCTGCCTGGGAGTCCGCTCTCTAGCACCTTCCTCCCTGGCAAATCAACAGGACAGCTCAAAAGCTGGCAAAATAAAAACGGGGGCTTGGGGGTGGGGGCGTGGGGGGGAAGGGCGACCCTCCTTGGGGAAGGGAGATTCTTCTATAGTGTCTTTAAAACAAGGACAGGAGGGGAAAAAAGGGAAAGCAGGATAAACGAAAAGGTTTTGTTTTTCTTGGATATGATTTCTCAGGAGCATCCCAGGAAGCCATCCCAGGCTGAAGTGATTGCAAAGTGTTGTTTAACCTGATGACATGCTCTAGCTCTGTTATCTATTGTGCTTCCACTAGTTCTTTGAACCCAAATCTCCTGTCTGACAAGCATGTGTGTGTGTGTGTGTGTGTGTGTGTGTGTATTTAGAAAACGTGGGCTCACTAATAGGGCTTCCGTGGCTGAGCAGGGTGGTTTCTCTACGTTTTCCTCGCGTTTAGTGTTTTCTGGAAAACTGTGCTGAGCGCTGCTGATGGCATCTGTCTTCTGCTTGTGCCCGCGGGCGGAGGACACAGGCTGTGGGTGTGTCCCGCCCACAGTTGCGCGGGCGTGTGCGTGCGCGCGCACGCGTGTACACACGCATTCTCTGCCGTGTGCCTCAAATGGAGCCTTTTTTTTTTTTTTTTTTTGCCCCTGCCAGCGTCCTGTGTATATTAGTATTATGCAAATAGAACCATTCGGCTTGAGTATTTTTTTAGGAGGGGGGAAGGGATGATTTAAATTCTTCTCATATTTTATCGCAGTCTTTCCACTGCATGTGAATTCACTGGGATGCCTTCTCTGAGGTCCGTGTGTGTGTGTGCGCGCGCGCGCGCGTGTGTGTGGTGGTGTGTTGGTTAGTGGGTGTGTGGGAGAGTGTGTATAACCTGTGAGCATCTTGTGAGTGATGTGTATTCTCTCCTGTATGTCTCTGCACCCCCCCCCCCTTCATGTTTTGTGTTCTTAGGGTGATTATGTGCATATTTACATACATGTGCCTATTTCCCTGTCTACATGCATTGTCTTTCTCTATAACCCACCCACTTCATATATATTCTCTTATCTTTTGGCAAAGTGCCTTTTTTTTTATCCCTCGAAGAATATTTATTGCTGTGATAATCTGAAATGAAAAGTGGTCTCCCATGAAGGAGATGGAAGAGAAAGGAGTGTTCATCTTTCTTAATAGACGGGGCAGAGCCAGTTGACTGGATCACAGGATTTCTCTGCACTTTCTGCGTGTCTGTATGTGTGGGGGGTGGGGACACGGACGGGGGGTCAGGGGGAGGCGGCGAGAAAAGGAGCCTTTCCCGAGAACAAAGGTGGGACATCGCGCCCCCTCGCGGCCAGGCTTCATATTGCGCAGACCTGGTCCTCTACGGCTTCTCTGCGGCCGAACGAATCCTGCGATTTGTCCGTTGAGCCATTCAGGAGTCGCCTCTCAGGCCCAGCCTCCGCCCTCAGCCAATCACCGGGCGCCATGCAAATCGCCTCTTCCGTTCTCCAAACAGGCGTCGGCCTCAGCCGCTACTCTAGCTGCCCCGCCCTCGCCTCTTTCTTCCGCTCTCCACCCCCGCCCTCCTTCGCTCCCGCCCCGGCAGCTGCGGGGGGACCAGGGCAGTGCCGGGCGCCTCATGCATATGCAGATAATTTTCCTCCTCCCTCCGTCCTCTCCAGCTCACCCCTTTCTCCCCCGCCGCCCACGACTCGGTCCCCTCCCCACCTCCCACCCGCTCCTCTTCTGGTTCCCCCACCTTGTCCGAGCGCCTGGATGTGCAGTTCTCTGAGCCCTGGTACCAGGCAGCTGCTTCCCAGAAGGAGGCCTTACCGGGGAAAGGGAGGAAGGCGCTACCCTTGAAATCCTCTCGAAGGTCAAGTTTGAGACTTGCTGAGCAGGGGCGAAAGGCGTTGAAACTGCGTCTGCAGGGTCTGTAGGGAAGGGTTCTGCACGCAGACTGATTCCGAAATGCCTTTCTCCTCCGAAACACCAGATTAATTTCTGTGAAACACACAATGTACTGGTCACGTCCAAAGGCAGGGTGATGATAGATGATTTTGTAAGCCCAGAGCTACAGTGTGTATTTGTCTTGTACATCAAGGCTGCACAGCTCCCTAAACCGCAAAGAATTGGAGATGAGATCAAACAGCATTAGATCTACTTAGTAGGATCAGGGGGAGTGAGAAGACGGGGCGTGGAGGAGGGGATGTGGGGGCGCACTACCTGCTCTGTGTGTGTGTGTGTGTGTGTGTGTGTGTTAGTCGCTCAGTCGTGTCCGATTGTGTGTGATCCCATGGACTGGAGCCCACCAGGCTTCTCTGTCCATGGGGATTCTCCAGGCAAGGATACTGGAGTGGTGTGCCATTCCCTTCCCCAGGGGATCTTACTGAACCCGGGGGGTAGAACCTGGGTCTCCTGCATTTGAGGGGTGCCATTTAAAGTCAGGGCTTCCTGCGGCACAGGTGAGTGCTTAGAGCATGAACAGGACCTAGGAGAAGAAAAACCAAATCCTCGAAGAAAAAACAAGACCCCGGAGTAGTAGGTTGTTACTGGAACTTATATCCAATCTGATTTAACGGCCTTTTACAGCCACAGGTAAAGGGTATTCAGGCTTTGCATGTAGTCTGAACATGTGGAATATACTGTGAGGTACACTGAAGGGAAAAATGTCACTGAGGAAAATTGAGGTTGGTATAGTACTTTGAGGTCCTCTAATGAGAAAGCAGGGGAATAGTGATGTGACTTTGTTTCACAGATGTCTATGTTGACACAGTAATTTCTAGTGAAACCTGAATCAGTTCCCCCTCCAATCTTACACCTTGGAGGTGGTGAGTACAGAGCACTAGAGTTGAAATAGTATTTTGTCAGCATTTGGTTTCTTGGTGGCTCAGATGATAAGGAATCTGCCTGCAATGTGGGAGACCCAGGTTGAATCCCTGGGTCAGGAAGATCCCCTGGAGAAGGAAATGGCACCCCATTCCAGTATTTTTGCCTGGAGAATTCCACCGACAGAGGAGACTGGTGGGCTACAGTCCGTGGGGTCACAAAGAGGGGTCACACAACTAACACTAACTGTCAGCGTCTATTCACTGAATATGTTTTTATGGAGTCCTTATTCCATGCCAAGGATACAGCATCCTCTTACACGCAAAGCACATTATGTGCACCATGATTCTCAAGTATACTAGAAGTTAGGGAGAGAAATGGGAATTCTGGAAGGTTTCTGTCTTAGAGATGCTCATGGCTTTTCAGAAGTGGGAGTGAGGGACAGGGAGCTCTGGTATGCTGCAGTCCAAGGGTTCATAAAGAGTAGGACCCAACTGAGCAACTGAACAACAACATGAACACTGCAGTGCATGCATCTTTTCAAATTAGGGTGTTTTTTTTTTTTTCATACCTACACACAGAAATGGAATTGCTTGGTCATCTAGTAATTCTATTTTAAGCTTTTTGAGTAGCCTCCATTTCTATCTTCCACAGTGTCTCTACCAATTTATATTCCCATCAGCAATGTACAGGGTTCCCCTTCCTCCACATCCTTGCCAACAACTGTTACTTGTGTTCTTTTGGACGGTAGCCATTTTGACAGGCTGTCAAAATGAAGTGATATCTCATGGTGGTTTTGATTTGCATGTCCCTGATGATTAGCAGATGTTGAGCATTTATTGATTCATGTGCCTGTTGAACTTCTTCATTTCCTCTTTGGAAAAATGTCTGTTCATTTCTTCTGCGCATTTTTTGAATTGGGCTGTTTTCTTGATGTTGAGTTGTATGAGCTGTTTATATATGTTGGATATTAATCCCTTATTGGCCATATTATTTGCAGATGTTTTCTCCCATTCAGTAAGTTGTCTTTTTGTCTTGTTGATGGTTTCCTTTGCTGTGCAAAAACTTTTAAGTTTAATTAGGTCCTGTTTGTTTATTTTTTTCTTTTATTTCCTTTACTTTAGAAGATGAATCCAAAAAAATATGTGATTTATTTTGCTCTGTGTTTAAATTTAAATTGCTGTGATTTATTTCTGCTGTGTTTTCCTCCAGGAGTTTTATAGTATCTGTTCTTACATTTAGTCTTTGAGCCATTTTGAGTTTATTTTTGTATATGATACTATAGAATGTTCTAATTTCATTCTTCTTTATGAAGCTGTCCAGTTTTCCCAGCACCACTTATTTAGCAGACTATGCTTTCTCCATTGTTCATTCTTCCATCCTTGTCATCGATTAATTGACCATAAGTGTGTGAGTTTACTTCTGGACTTTATATCCTGTTCCATTTATCTATGTGAAAGTATTGGTCTCTCAGTCATGTCTGCTCTTTGTGACCCCATGGACTGTAGTCAGCCAGGCTTCTCTCTCCATGGAATTCTCTGGGCAAGAATACTGGAGTGGACAGCCATTCCCTTCTCCAGGGGATCTTCCTGACCCAGGGATCAAACCCTGAGAAACCTGTATGGAGGTCAAGAAGCAACTGTTAGAACTAGACATGGAATAATGAACTGGGTCAAAATTGGGAAAAGAGTACATCATGGCTATATATTGTCACCCAGCTTATTTAACTTATATGCAGAGTCAGTTCAGTGCTAAGTTGTGTCCAACCCTTTGTGAACCCATGGACTGCAGCATGCCAGGCTTCCCTGTCCATCACCAACTCCCAGAGTACATCATTTGAAATGCCTGGCTGGGTGAATCACAGCTAAAATCGAGATTGCTGAGAGAAATATCAATAACCTCCAATATTCAGGTGATGCCACTCTCATGGCAGAAAGTGAAGAGGAACTAAAGAGCCTCTTGATGAGGGTAAAAGAGGAAAGTGAAAAAGCTGGCTTGAAATTCAACATTCAAAAAGCTAGGATCATGGCATCTTATCCCATCACTTCATGGCAAATAGATGGGGAAAAAGTAGCAACAGCAACAGATTTTATTTCCTTGGGCTCCAAAATCACTGTAGATGGCGACAGCAGTCACAAAATTAAAAGACCCTTGCTCCCTGGAAGAAAAGCTATGACCAACCTAGACAGCATACTAAAAGGCAGAGACATCACTTTGCTGACAAAGGTCTGTATAATCAAAGTTATGGTTTTTCCAATAGTCATGTACAGATGTGAGAGTTGGGCCATAAAGAAGGCTGAGCTCCAAAGAACTGATGCTTTGAATTGTGGTTCTGGAGAAGACTCCTGAGAGTCCCTTGGACAGAAAGAAGATCAAACCAGTCAATCCTAAAGGAAATCAGTTCTGAATATTCACTGAAAGGGCTGATGCTGAAGCTGAAGCTCCAATACTTTGGCCACCTTATATGAAGAGCCAACTCATTGGAAAAGACCTTGAAGCTGGGGAAGATTGAAGGCAGGAGGAGAAGGGGATGACAGAGGATGAGATGGTTGGATGCCATCACTGACTCAGTGGACATGAGTTTGAGCAAACTCCAGGAGATAGTGAAGGACAGGGAAGCCCTGGGTGCTGAAGTCCCTAGAGTCACAAAGAGTCAGACACGACTTAGTGAGTGAACAACAGCAATTGATCTGTGTGTCTCTTTTTGTTGCCGTACCATTCTGACTTGATTAATGTGGCTCTGTAGTAAGTCTGAAGTCAGGGACCATGATTCCTTCATCTCTGTTCTTCTTTGTCAAGATTGTTTTGGCTATGCAGGATCTTTTCTGTTTCCTTAGAAATTTTGAATCAGCTACAAGAAAAAACTGCAGAAAAGCGCAAACACATGAAGGCCAAACAATGTGCTACCAAACTACCAATGGATCACTGAAGAAAGCAAGATGAAATTAAAAAAATACCTAGAGATATGACAACAAAAACATGATGATCCAAAATCTGTGGGACACAGCAAAAGCAGTTCTAAGAAGGAAGTTTATAGTGATACAAGCTTACCTCAGGAAATAAGATATCAAGTAAGCACCATAACCTTACACCTAAATAATCAGAGAAAAAAGAATAAACAAAATCCAGAGTTAGAAGAAAGAAAGAAATCATAAAGATTAGAGCAAAATAAAAATGAAATAGACTAAAAAAAAAAAAAAGAAAAGATCAATGAAACTAAACCTGGTTCTTTGAACAGATACACAAAATTTATAAACCATTGGCCAGACCCATTAAGAAAAAAAGGAAGTGGGACCGAAATCAATAAAATCACTTCTGGGGGGTTATACGTGTCTAAGAGACTTACGAATGCATGGAGTCCTATGCTCACCATTACAAGCAGGAAACAGAATGCTTTCATCATCCCGCTTCCCAAATTCTTTTGTGCTATCTTTTGGAGTCAACCTTTGCCCTTTGTAGGCAACTCCCTCATAAATGTAAATTCTGGAAACTACTGCTCTCTTTTCATTCCTATAGTTTTGCTTTTTCCAGACAGATAAAGGGAATCATAAGTAGGTAGCTTGTGTGTGTGTATATGTGTGTGTTTTGCACTTCAGTTCCTTTCAGTCACTCAGTCGTGTCCGACTCTTTGCAACCCCATGGACCGCAGCACGCCAGGCCTCCCTGTCCATCACCAACTCCCAGAGTTTACTCAAACTCATGCCCATTGAGTCGGTGATGCCATCCAGACATCTCATCCTCTGTCGTCCGCTTCCCCTCCTGCCCTCAATCCCTCCCAGCATCAGGGTCTTTTCCAATGAGTCAACTCTTCGCATCAGGTGGCCAAAGTATTGGAGTTTCAGCTTCAGCATCAGTCCCTCCAATGAACACCCAGGACTGATCTCCTTCAGGATGGACTGGTTGGATCTCCTTGCAGTCCAAGGAACTCTCAAGAGTCTTCTCCAACACCACAGTTCAAAAGCATCAATTTTTCGGCACTCAGCTTTCTTCACAGTCCAACTCTCACATCCATACATGACCACTGGAAAAGCCATAGCCTTGACTATATGGACCTTTGTTGGCAAAGTAATGTCTCTGCTTTTGAATATGCTATCTAGGTTGGTCCTAACTTTCCTTCCATGGAGTAAGCGTCTTTTAATTTCATGGCTGCAATCACCATCTGCAGTGATTTTGGA